ACATTAAAGGCTGCAAACATCAGAAAGGAAGGTGGGGGGATAGATGTAACAAAGGGAAGCCAATCTCAGCTTGTTTTAATCTGTTTGAATTGGGCTCTCTTTGTAGCATCTTCCTATTCCCACCTTTCTGTGGCTTGTAATTTAAGTGTAAACATATCTCTTTTGTATGTACACTTGATAAGATGAGCACTGGCTCATGTAAGGTTATGCTGGAGTAAATTTTGTTAGTTGCTAAAGTGGCCCTGGACTCCTGTTTTGTTCTAACACACAACCAAACTCGTTTTCATGAATGGTTGCATTCCTTTAAAGCATTCAAGATGAAATATTTCTCTGCTTTATTTCACAGATCGTTGATAAATGCACCATCACAGACAGTGGTGAAACACTGTTCACAAATGTGCTGCTGTTATTACCCCTCCATCGGTGTGTGGCTTTTTCTTCTATTTCAAGGGTATGTTGAAATATATAAGGCTACCTGTGGTGGAGCTAAACTATTTATGGAAGAAAATGAGCTTTGATTATCTGAACAAGGGGCTGGGTATGGGGAACCTTCTAGTATGAAAGGACTCAAAGGCTGTGGTCACACTGGTGGCTTGGCACGGTATGGTGGTGCCTCAAATTGTATTGGTTTAAAGTGTAGCAGAGTATTTCATCCAGACTGCACACCCTATGGCAGTCCAGAGGGGAAGCATCCACATTAGTCTTGCGCTTCAACCACGGGACAAGCTGTAAGGGTGGGTTTTATTTAAATGCAGGTGGATGGATGCGCATATGCGCTCATGCACATATACACATATAGGCAGCACCTCAAAAAAAGCCAGTGGCAGAAACGGATCTGCAAGTTCAGATATCCCTTCCAGGTTCCTTTCACTGCAGGAGAGTTCAGATGCTGGAAAACCCAGCGGGAACCGCAAACAATCCATTCATACTGGATTTTCCTCCATTTCTGTGTATTCCGCTTCCACTGTGGAACAGTACAGACTGCTGACAGCTGTGCCACAGAAGGCAGATGTCCTTGTTGGAGGGGCCCATTTAGTCTGCTCAGGTAACGCCACTATAAACTGCATGTGTGACTGCAGCCAAGGACAGTTTTCTGGGGCTGTGACATGTCTTATTACCTGTGGGAGGATTCCGGGAAAGTTTTCTGAAGTGCTTTGATAGATATAAAGATGGGGTTCCAGATGTGTTCAAGAATAAGACTGTGTGGAAAACACTAGAGTTTTTCCTCATGGGAATAGCTGTTTTTTTCAGTAGAAAGATGATTGCTTATTTTACTCAAGGATTGCTGAAAGACACAATATAGAATATCCTACTTAACTAACCCCCTAGAACCCAGCCTTATCACATTGCCTCAGCATAATGTACAGTCCCTCCTTCCCACAACACATTTCAATTCTGTACAGATTATTATTTTGTGTACCCGAAACTTGAGGATCGTTGAATGTATAACAATGGCCATTCTCAATATGGAAAACCTGTGAACTACCTAGAGGTTTAGCTACTCCTGAGGCAAAAAGACATAACTTTTGCTCACAATATCTGAAATTAAGCAGAGTTTGAGAAGCTAACAAGGCTAAGATACTATTCTCTTGTCCAGAAGAAATTTCATTTCCACCCTGATTATCCAGGTCTTGCTCCTCTTGAAAAGCGTCCCTTAAAATATTGGTTCTTAGGAGGAGTATCATGCAATGAAGGATTAACTCTTGAGAAGTAACTATCCAGTCTTAATTGTTTTTTTAAAAAATAAATTTTTTATTAATTTTTCACACTTTACCAAAACACGCTCCCACATAGACAACATCTTATCAACAAACATATACACATGTATACCACCACCAGCAGCTACACCATATCTTACTGTCTTCTTCCCCTATCACATTGATCACCCATTTTGATTTAACATTCTCATTATTCCTTTTAAATACCTAATAACCATTATTTAATCATTAACTCAAACTCATAATTACTTTTCATCCAGTCCTTAAAGTCTAGCTTACTTAATTCATTCAGTCTGGATTCAAGTACAATACATACTGGAAAATACTAATCGATTGAAACATTGCTCTTATCATCCTTTAGCTCTTTCATTTAACTTACATCACGGTCCCCCACCTAGAAACCTAGAGACATACCTCAAATCATTTCCTAACTGTTCTAACTGTTTTAAACATTCTAATCCAACTGCATCTATTTTCTAGCCAGTCAGAGGCAACTAACACATTTACTATCTCCCCGCCCCAGTTATAATTCATTCAGGCTATACACAGTCGAGTCCGACTCTTTGCGACCCCATGGACCAGCTCCCTCCAGGCCTTCCGGTCTTCCGCCATCCTCTGAAGTTTGCTCAACTTCATGTTCGTTGCATCGATGACACTGTCTAACCATCTCATCCTTTGCCGTCCCCGTCTTCTTTGACCTTCAATCTTTCCCAGCATCAGGGTCTTCTCCAGTGAGTGCTCCCTTCTCATTTGGTGGCCAAAGTATTTGAGCTTCAGTTTCATTATCTGGCCTTCCAGGGAACAGTCAGGGTTGATTTCTTTGAGGATTGACTGATTTGTTCTTCTTGCAGTCCAAGGGACTCTCAAGAGTCTTCTCCAGCACCATAGTTCAAAAGAATCTATTCTTCTGCGCTCGGCCTTCCTTATAGTCCAACTCTCGCAGCCATACATGACTACTGGGAATACCATTGCTTTGACCATGCGGACTTTTGTTGGCAGGGTGATGTCTCTACTTTTTATCATGCTGTTTAGGTTCGCCATCGCTTTCCTCCCAAGGAGCAGGCGTCTTTTAATTTCATGACGGCTGTCACAGTCTGCGGTGATCTGGGATCCCAGGAACGTGAAGTCTGTCACTACTTCCACGACTTCCCCTTCTATTTGCCAAGGAGTCATGGGGCCGGATGCCATGATCTTAGTTTTTTTGATGTTGAGCTTCAAGCCCACTTTTGCGCTCTCCTCTTTTACCCTGAGCAAGAGGCTCTTGAGGTCCTCTTCACTTTCTACCATCAGAGTGGTATCGTCTGCATATCTGAGGTTGTTGATCTTTTCCCCCGCAATCTTAATCCATTATTTTCCATTCATTCTGAATCTAAAGGACCTCTATATTGCTTGCACCTTAAAAAAATTCCCCATCAACTAACATTGTTACCACTCAATCATCTACAAATTTCACTTCTTAGCATTCTTTTTCATGCTCCTAGTTTTCATAACCTTCTGCTTATTTAACAGTCCGCTGCAGCCATTTTCTAATTCCAGAAAGTGCTACCAACAATCACGTTAACCTCTGCATTATCTACATCTAGCCTATGTTCCATCTCTTTTTGGTTTTCCTCATTTTCTTGACGATGTCTTAAATTTTTGTACTCTTTTAGTGTAATGTCCAAAAGGATTTCCCCATATTTGATAAGTCCCGCATTCGGTTGTTTAGATCTTCCGGCTTTTTTAAAGTCTTTGCTTGCTTTTCTACTCGTTGCTAAATTCTTTTTTCTACAAGGGGATTTAAACCAGCGTTTTTTGGTGCCTCCTTTCCCCCCCCCTTTTTCCTTGTTCTCAATGCACTTTTAGGCAAGACCGCTTCTTTTATTCCTTCTTCTATATGTTGGTCCTGCGCGTCGATCTGTGCTTCTTGTTGCTCTTCCTTCCACTTACAATCCTGCCAGTCATTAGAGGTTTGTATCTTTTGTGCTTGCTGCTCGATCTCCTTATCCTCTATACTTGAACTCTGGGTATTTCCCAAGAGCTTGACCCACGCCAGTTGAAGAGCTTTATCTAGTTCTTCTCTTAGTCTCTCCTGAAACCGCTCTGATTTGAGCTCCGCTATTCCCCTCTCGCAAACAAACGCCGCCGCCATTTTGTCCTTAGGTTTCTTTTCACAGCTAATGCCGTTTCTTCTTGTATCATAAATGTTATTAACAGTCCGATACAATAGTATTTCCAGCAAAGAAATGTCTCTTACCCTCCTTCAGCTCTTCCTCGCTCAAATCCCATAAACGCTTTCCGGCCGGTTTTATTAGACTGATAGGTGTGCCGCAGGAAAAAACAAAACGGGAGAGTAGAGATACGTTAAGTAGGAGTATTCACCAAAGAAAATCCTCAATGTGCAGCGAAGAAATAATCCTTAATACCAAAAACAAGAGTCTACCACATTTAAAAGTCGGATGGTCGTCACTTGTGGAGGCATAAGCCATGCCTCCTCCGCTCCGGAGTCCTGCTTCAACCAGAAATATGTAACTCTGGTGCAAGTACACACAGTTCCAGATGGGTAGCTATGTTAGTTTGTAGATCAGAATAAAACAGGAGTACAGGGGCACCTTCGTGGTGGTAGAAAGTGCTGTCGTGTTGCAGCTGACATGGTGACCCTGTAGGGTTTTCAAGGCAAGAGACCAACAGAGGTGATTTGCCATTGCCTGTGTAGTGACCCTGGACTTCCTTGGTGGTCTTCCTTCTTATTAAACAGGGCCAACCCTGCTTAGGTCTCAAGATCTAGATGAGATCAAGCTAGCCTGGGCCATCCAGGTCAGGGGTGGGGCACCTTACAGACGAACAAAATTTATTCCAACATAGGCTTTCAAGAGTCAGAGCTCACTTCATCAGGTGCATGAGACATACATCCATAAGGCTGATATATTTACATTAAAGGCTGCAAACATCAGAAAGGAAGGTGGGGGGATAGATGTAACAAAGGGAAGCCAATCTCAGCTTGTTTTAATCTGTTTGAATTGGGCTCTCTTTGTAGCATCTTCCTATTCCCACCTTTCTGTGGCTTGTAATTTAAGTGTAAACATATCTCTTTTGTATGTACACTTGATAAGATGAGCACTGGCTCATGTAAGGTTATGCTGGAGTAAATTTTGTTAGTTGCTAAAGTGGCCCTGGACTCCTGTTTTGTTCTAACACACAACCAAACTCGTTTTCATGAATGGTTGCATTCCTTTAAAGCATTCAAGATGAAATATTTCTCTGCTTTATTTCACAGATCGTTGATAAATGCACCATCACAGACAGTGGTGAAACACTGTTCACAAATGTGCTGCTGTTATTACCCCTCCATCGGTGTGTGGCTTTTTCTTCTATTTCAAGGGTATGTTGAAATATATAAGGCTACCTGTGGTGGAGCTAAACCATTTATGGAAGAAAATGAGCCTTGATTATCTGAACAAGGGGCTGTGTATGGGGAACTTTCTAGTATGAAAGGACTCAAAAGCTGCGGTCACACTGGTGGCTTGGCACGGTGTGGTGGTGCCTCAAATTGTATTGGTTTAAAGTGTAGCAGAGTATTTCATCCAGACTGCACACCCTGTGGCAGGTTACCTATGCGGCAGTCCAGAGGGGAAGCATCCACATTAGTGTTGCGCTTCAACCACGGGACAAGCTGTAAGGGTGGGTTTTATTTAAATGCAGGCGGATGGATGTGCATATGCACTCATGCACATATACACATATAGGCAGCACCTCAAAAAAAGCCAGTGGCAGAAACGGATCTGCAAGTTCAGATATCCCTTCCAGGTTCCTTTCACTGCAGGAGAGTTCAGATGCTGGAAAACCCAGCGGGAACCGCAAACAATCCATTCATACTGGATTTTCCTCCATTTCTGTGTATTCCGCTTCCACTGTGGAACAGTACAGACTGCTGACAGCTGTGCCACAGAAGGCAGATGTCCTTGTTGGAGGGGCCCATTTAGTCTGCTCAGGTAACGCCACTATAAACTGCATGTGTGACTGCAGCCAAGGACAGTTTTCTGGGGCTGTGACATGACTTATTGCCTGTGGGAGGATTCCGGGCAAGTTTTGTGAAGTGCTTTGATAGATATAAAGATGGGGTTCCAGATGTGTTCAAGAATAAGACTGTGTGGAAAACACTAGAGTTTTTCCTCATGGGAATAGCTGTTTTTTCAGTAGAAAGATGATTGCTTATCTTACTCAAGGATTGCTGAAAGACACAATATAGAATATCCTACTTAACTAACCCCCTAGAACCCAGCCTTATCACATTGCCTCAGCATAATGTACAGTCCCTCCTTCCCGCAACACATTTCAATTCTGTACAGATTATTATTTTGTGTACCCGAAACTTGAGGATCGTTGAATGTATAACAATGGCCATTCTCAATATGGAAAACCTGTGAACTACCTAGAGGTTTAGCTACTCCTGAGGCAAAAAGACATAACTTTTGCTCACAATATCTGAAATTAAGCAGAGTTTGAGAAGCTAACAAGGCTAAGATACTATTCTCTTGTCCAGAAGAAATTTCATTTCCACCCTGATTATCCAGGTCTTGCTCCTCTTGAAAAGCGTCCCTTAAAAGTATCAGTGTCTCATATTGGTTCTTAGGAGGAGTGTCATGCAATGAAGGATTAACTCTTGAGAAGTAACTATCCAGTCTTAATTGTTTAGGGGATGGTAGCTCATAAATCAGAGTATTCCTTAATCTCTTCTTTGACGGCGCCATTGTGTGTACTGTGTATATATATCTCCACAGAGATGCAACTGGTGTCAGTGCATCTCAGGGTTTTTTATATAAAATTTTAGAAAACAAAGTAATAGTACAGAGGAGATACAAAAAGGAGAGTAGGGATTATATAACATAATTGTATGTATCAAGGATAAATATAAATGACAGAATGCATAAAACACAAAAATTTTCTCCCCAACATCCTCTTCATTATATTTTTTAAGACATTATCTATAAAGTACAATGGTCCTTACTTCTGTTAGGGCACTTTTATATTCAACATTTTAAATTTCAAATTTCATAACTGATCTATTTTGCAACTACATTATTAGTTTCGTCACTACCACATATTCAGTATTACATATTTCACCATTTCTGCATATTCACAATAACTTTTAATATATCAAAGTACAAAGGAAAGTCTATTATATATCTCATAATAAGAAAATAAAAGATGTTTCTCCTCAAAATGCACTTATATATTTATATTCAAAACTTGTTATCATTCTGCTTCTGCATTGCAATACATTTATATACAATTTTTAAACTGTTTCTCATTCTAAATTTAACTCCTGCTCGAACAATACTCCATCTCTCCTGAGATTTCGTGATTGATCTGTTTCTCAAATAGGTTGTTAATTTTGCCATTACTGCATAGTCGGCAAGTTTATTTTCCCATTCTTCTAAGCTTGGACAGATGTCTAACTTCCATTTTGCTGCAAAGATAATTCTAGCCATTGTCACCATATATTTGAATATCTCTTCCAAATGTTTTGGTAATTTATTAGGTCATATATCTAATAGCATATTCTTAGCTTCCATAGGGAATTGTCAGGTTCCACAGCCAAACAAAAGAATACACGCTTAACATAAGGTTATACTTTATTGCTAGAGCTATAGAGGCAGTAACATGGTCACTGTTAGGAATGGATACTTCCCTACAAGCATAAAGGGATATAGGGTATTCGTACGCACACCCCCCACACACTCCTAGGCCAATCGGCCTGACTCCTGCATGCGGGAGAATGGGGCCCCAGGCTGTTACAGCCAAAGCTGGGAATCGAAACCTATCCCACAGGTAATAGATGGGGAGACGTTACACAGACAGCTAGCAAGCAAGGTCATAGATAAGCAAGGACAAAGGAGTGCGGCATCAGTTGGCACACAGGTCAAGCATCTGCACTCTCGCCCATAAACATCATGGCAGCATAGCTGACAGGAATTTAAATTTTCATATGGTAAAAGGTTCCATCTATGTCTTGACATTTCCAGCATTTTCTTTTGTAGTCTTTGTCTGCTTTCTCAATATCCTTTGGAGTTATATACCATCTAAAAAAACATTTTGTACCAGTTTTCTCTTAGCACCTGGCTGGCTGTAAACTTAATTTCTCCTGATTTACCTAGAAATCCCCCCCCCAAAAAAAATGGGTTTCAGTGTTTGAGGGTGGCCTTGTGAACAAAGTGCCATGCAATATAGAGGTTGCCATGAGGAGGGGCAGAGGTAGATTCGAGGGGTGTCGGGGCCGCCTGTGGGCTGGGGCTTTGTCCTTCCCCTTTCTGCCCCTTCACCTCCGCCGTCCGCCCGAAAGTTGCAAAGTCCGTTTAATACACAAAGTCAGTCTAGTCAATTAATCACCCTATACAGTCCATTTGAAAAAATGATTTATGTTGGCACCATTCATAAGGTCTCTATAAACCTCCATTACTAGAAGAATAAAATTGCTAGAATCCTCTTAAAATTTACTGCAGGCAGGGTGTGTGGCCTTATGACACACTTCCGGTGATGTCAGGGGGTGTGGCATATGCTAATGAGTTATGCTAATGAGTTCCCCTAGCTCTTTTTCTACGAAACGACCCCTGAGGAGGGGGAATCACCCCCTTACCTCTTCTTCCCAGTATGCATGGTTGCTATGTTATCAGTATGCATGGTTGCTATGTTATGCCCTGGAAGGAAAGATATGGCCAGTTCTCACCAACGTGTACTGGGTTTTTTTGGGTCTATATGTAGTATATGTAGGATTGGTTTATACGGGAAAGTAAGGTCACATTCCAACACATGGTATTAGCTGTCCCTTACACTAAGTATCCTTGCACAATCGTCCGCATTCCCAAGGAGTCCCAGGCATGGTAGGAATGCCACTCCAGTCCCTCCAGCGCAGAGTTTGTCATCGAGGAATAATCTGGAACAGCCACAAAAACAGACATTGACCTTCCCCCTGTCAGAGTGTTTAAGTCCTAATCAAAATCACCCTTTCTCCGTGGGCTTTGTGCCCATGTGCTCCGACATTAGAGGTGGGGCAGAGAGGCTAATGATTTATGGAGGGGACAGGGACAGGGAGGAGTTCTTTTGGCAGATGTTTACCGAATTATTTCATACTTACTATCCTGGAATTTTGGCATCCACCTCAGTGATTGTGCTGCTCTCTGCAACTATTCTGTGCCGCTCAGTAAATCTCAATGAAATGGGATCTTTGGAAGTTCAAACGGGGTGAGAAACCCAATCCGTTGTCCTTTTCTCTGCCGTAGACCCTTTCCGCAGTAGTGAAATTCCCCACATGCACGTTTTTAAAACTGCATGTTATGTAGTATAACGGCAAGCTCCTATGGAGTGCTGTTGGCTACCAGGGATACTTCCTGCAGGCACAAGGGTGGCACATGTATGTACTCCTTGCCCTCACAGGTGTGGATCATCTATACCATGACTGGAGACCTTCTTCCTGCTCTTCATCTTACCACCACATTCTGCCTGTGCACTCAGGAGTAGAAGTCTAACTTAAGGAGCAGGGAGGTTCCCTCAGGAAACACGGCACTACCGCTAACAGAAGCAGGCCCCTGCTGGATCAAACCAGTGGTCCATTCACTGCAGCATAGTGTTTCACACAGCAACCAGTTGCATTGGGGGTCCAAAGAACAGGGTGTAGAGGCCTTCGCCAGATGTTGCCTCCTGCCACTGGGTTTCAGAGGTTTACTATCTCTGTACCTGGAGGTTCCCTTTACCCTCCATGGCTAGTAACCATTGATGAATCTCTCCTCATTGAATCTGCCTACCATCATTTTAAAGAAATCTATGCTTGTCACCATTAGTATGTTCAGTGGCTGTGAATTCCGCCATTTAATTATACATTGAATAAAGAATTATTTCCTTCTGTCTGTCCTATACCTATTGCTCATCAACTTAACTAGGTGCCCCAGAATTCTAGCATTATGGGAGCGGAAGAAAAAGCTTCCTCTATCCATTTTCCCCACCCCAGGCATAGTTTGATAAACTCAGGGGTCTTTGGGGGCCGAAGCATGCTGGAGCACCGCTTCGGCAGCCCAGGAGCAATGTTCCCTCTAAGCTGGGGAGGCTTGTGAGCAAAAACTCTACTTTGTGAGCTACTGGCATGAAAGTTGTGAGCCAGCAATTTGGCTACTGCATAAATTAGTTTGCTCTAGAGCCTTCCTTCCTGAGCTGAGACAAAAATGTGTGAGCTGGAGGTTAAAAAACTGTGAGCTAGCTCACAGTAACTCAGCTTAGAGGGAACACTGCCCAGGAGCCTGCACAAATGGTGGCAGCGGCAAACCCTGCCCCCAATTCCCCGGCGCCGAAAGTGCTGCGCCCGGGGGATGCCTGGAGAGCACCGCTGCCGGGTCCCCCGGGCCCGCACAGAAGTGCTGCAGCTCGGGGGAGGCCCAGAGAGCCCCACCCCCGGGTCCCCCGGTCCCATGCAGAAGCGCTGCAGCCGGGAGACGCCCAGAGAGCCCCGCCCCTGGGTCCCCCGGGCCTGCACAGAAGCGCTGCGGC